GTGCGCACGAGCACACTGTGCATTTGGTCGTGGTGTGTATACACTTGCTTCTGTGCCTGGGCAGTGTGCGTGTGTGTGCACACTGTGCATTTGGTTGTGGTGTGTGTGCACCTGCTCCTGTGCACCCACTTCAGTGTCCTACCTGCCACCTGCACCATCAAAGTGGCTTCTGCCTTTATTATTTATTAGGGAGCTGTAGAGCCAAAATCAGCAGGAGGTTGACCCAGAGCAGAACACCACATGCCTGAGGACTGTCCCAGGATGGGAGGACTATCCCAGCATCCGTGTGGGCCACATGGGGCTCCTCCGTGGTGGCTGGGGAGAGGACCTCAAAGGTGGCTCTGGGCAGACGGGAGTTGGTAACAGCACTGGTCCCCTCTGTAGGGTTGAGAGAGACCCCATGAAGTGGGTAGAGGAGGAAAAGGAGGAGGAGGCTAAGTCTGTATCTGGGTAAGGTCTATTTCATATTTTCCCCAAACAGAACTTCAAGAAAAAAATACCTTGACCATGAGCAGATTTAGTGGTTGCCATTTGTTTCTGTTTGGTTTGAAAATATTTGGTTTGAAAATATTTGGCTAAAGTTTCTCAGACAAATACACAGCTGGGAATCTGTGTATTTGTGGGGCAGTGTTGGGGAAGAGAGCAAGGATCCAGGCTGCAGGGTCTCACCACCTCCCAAGCGGCTCACCCTGTGTGAGAACCCTGGGGTTGCTTGTCTCATGCACACTTTTGGAAACTGAGGCTGTAGGTTCTGAGCCTTCCAGTGGCATCCATCATCTGAGGAATTCTGAAGCAAGCAGAGGTCCGGACCCCAGGAAGGTTCTTGTCTTCCTTGCCAACTGTGTTATGTTTCCAAACAGTTGAGATCCCAGTGGAAATTTCCAGCACACACACAGACGGCAGGGGCCTGTTCCTCGTGCTCTGTTTTGACATCAATCAGAATGCTGTTTCCTGATCCATATGTACGACTCCGTCTGCACGTGGTACCCGTGGTGTTATTGATGAGGGTTCTGCCTCTGTGACTTTTAGCAAGGTTCTGGTGCCTTTGTGCCTGTGGGGCTGGGGGCCCCGACCTGCAGAAATACCCTGTGCCAGCCCTGGGTGGTGCCCCAGGCATGCTGCCATCTCCTGTCCCTGCTGCAGCCCTTGGCACTGTCCAGTGAGCCAAGTTCATGACTGTGGTCGTCAACTTGTTCCTATGCTTCATCAGCCATCCTTATCGCAGCCCAAGATAAAATTACCCAGGCTTTCCCCTCCAGCGCGAAGGGCAGGGGCCCTCAGTGCTCATCCTCCCCCAGCATCATGCATGGCCACGGGGCACTGGGTAGTGTCCATCATGCATGGACATTGTCGATGAGACTCTTGGGCTCCCGGGGCTGTGAGCTGGTTGGGGCCCCACCTGCACTATGCCTGAGCTCCCCACATCCTGCCTCTCTCCTGTCACTCGAAACTCAGCCGCCCGAGAAGCACTTTCCTGCCCCCTCCCTGAGAACTGGGAGCTCTTGGGATGAGGGTTGCCTGGGTTTCTCCTGTGGAACCCTTGCTGTGGCACTGATACACTCAAGTAAATATTTGCCATGTGAATAGCCAAGTATGTAAAAGAATGCACTCCCTGAAGGCAATTCACAGCCCCATGTCCCCCCATCCCCCACACTTCCAGGCAACAGTGGAAGCAGCTGTTCTGGGGGTCCCCAAGACCACCTGCATGTCTGGGGACTCACTGGGATTCACAGGACTCAGCACACAGTCCCTCACAGTCAGCTGAGGACCTCATCCAAGCTGGAGCCATGTCAGGCACAGGACAGGTGGGAGGCGGCCACCCATGGGTCTGGCCTTGGTCTCTGTGGCTCCATGGGGCTCCTCAATTCCCCCATGCAAGCTCTGGCACCCCAAAGTCCTCACTCAAGAGTGTCTCTGTGGACAGGCCTGAGGCTGCTAGCTGCAGAAGTGCCTGCGTGCAAGGGCTGGCGTCTGGGAACTTGGCTTTGAAGCATTCCTTTAGTGAGGAAGTTCCTGCCTAGACCGTTTGTGCAAACAATGTGATTCATGGCAAACACTGGCCTTCTTTTGAGAGCCGGGCATGTTAGTGGGCCGGGGGTGCACAACTGAGTAGTCCCCCAATCAAAATCATGAATTTTGGGTCTCAGCTGGAATTCCCTGAGCAGAAACACTGCATACGTGGGGCTGTGTTTTGCTGCTGGAGGGAGTGTGTGCCCCATGTGCACCTCACAGTGGGGAAGCGTATGGGAGGGGAGAGAGCACAGGAAGTCTGCTCACAGGCCTCTCTAGGCTGTGCCTGTGAACGCTTCCCTTGTAGATCCAGCCATGCCTCCTGATTATAGGGCTGCGATAATGGTGTGGCTGTGCCATGGTGTGGTTGTTGTGGTGTGACTCTGCCATGGTGGGGCCCTGCGTGGTGTAACCCTGCTGTGGTGTGGCCCTGCTGTGGTGTGACTGTGCCATGACATGACCCTGCCGTGGTGTGGCCCTGCATGGTGTAACCCTGCCGTGGTGTGGCCCTGCGTGGTGTAACCCTGCCGTGGTGTGGCCCTGCTGTGGTGTGACTGTGCCATGACATGATCCTGCCGTGGTGTGGCCCTGCATGGTGTAATCCTGCCGTGGTGTGGCCCTGCGTGGTGTAACCCTGCCGTGGTGTGACTTTGCTGTGGTGTGACTGTGCCATGACGTGACCCTGCCGTGGTGTGGCTCTGTTATGGTGTGACTGTGCCATGACATGACCCTGCCGTGGTGTGGCCCTGCATGGTGTAACCCTGCCGTGGTGTGGCTCTGCTGTGGTGTCACTGTGCCATGGCGTGACTCTGCCGTGGTGTGGCCCTGCGTGGTGTAACCCTGCCATGGTGTGGCTCTGCTGTGGTGTGACTATGCCATGACGTGACCCTGCCGTGGTGTGGCCCTGCTATGGTGTGACTGTGTGCTGAGTCCTGTGAATCCCAGTGAGTCCCCAGACATGCAGGTGGTCTTGGGGACCCCCAGAACAGCTGTTTCCACTGTGGCCAGAAAGGGGAGGGAGGATGAGAGGGAGAAGACCACATCCCCTAGAAGAGATGGGGTGGGGCGGAAGGGATTTGGGAGGACTGCACACCTAGAAGCAGAACGATGTGTGTGTGTGTGTGTGTGTGTGTGTGTGTGTGTAGTGTGTGAATGCATGTGCTGTGAGTGGTGTGTTGTGTATGCATGCATATATTGTGTGCATGTGTGGGCTGTGTGTGAGTGGTGTCTTTGGGCATGTGCATGTATGTGTATGTGTGTTGTGCACTGTATGTGCATGTGTATTTTGCATTGTGTGTACACATGTACAGTGCATGTGTGCGTATTGCGTGGGCATGTATGTGCAGTGTGTTGTGTACATGCATGTGCAGTGTGTATGTGCTGTTTGTGCATGTGCATGTATGTGTATTGTGCATTGTGTGTGCATGCACATGCAGTGTGTGTGTGTGAGTGGTATGTTGCAGCCATGGATGGGACAGAAAGTCTCCTGTTCTGGAAATAGGGTAGTGAGTGGAGCGTGTTGACAATGGGGAGCACCAGCTGGCTCTGGAGCGGGATCGAGTGACCACAGGAAACCAAACACTCTCGTCTTGTCCCTTCAGTTTGGGGAGTGAGTTTTTAAAATTCTGCATAATATTTTCAACAAGACCTCTGTTCTCTGTTTGCATGTGCATAGCTCATACCCCAGGCAGTTGATCACATAATTCAGAGAGGCATTGATGGGGCGGGAGTGTTAGTAGGTCGGTGTCCGGATCCCTGGCCCTGCTCAGCCTGGAAGTGTCACCGAGGGAAATCCCTATTTTACATGGGGCTTCAGCTTTTCCATCTGTAAAATATGAGGGCTGGACTGGCAGGTCCCCTTCCTCCTGTGCTTTCTAGAGATCGATGGTTCCACCACAACGTATTTAGAAATGAACCTGATTAAAGGCACAAAGAACAAGGTACTATGTTAACTGCGGCAGAGATTTCAACTGTAACGCTTAATACGGGAAGAAGTAAACATGTATGTGTCATTTGACTACATTTATTTTTCATTCTGTTTGAGGTAATATCTTTTTTTTTTTTTTTTTTTTTTTGAGACGGAGTCTCGCTCTGTCGCCCAGGCTGGAGTGCAGTGGCCGGATCTCAGCTCACTGCAAGCTCCGCCTCCTGGGTTCACGCCATTCTCCTGCCTCAGCCTCCCGGGTAGCTGGGATTACAGGCGCCCACCACCTCGCCCGGCTAATTTTTTTTTGTATTTTTAGTAGAGATGGGATTTCACCGTGTTAGCCAGGATGGTCTCGATCTCCTGACCTCGTGATCCGCCCGTCTCGGCCTCCCAAAATGCTGGGATTACAGGCTTGAGCCACCGCGCCCGGCCTGTTTGAGGTAATATCTTAGAAGTTAGGTTAAAAAATGAAAAACCAAAAAGCTCTTCACACCTCTCCGAGATTAGAAAACCGTGGAGTCTCTACTGCCGGGCCCTCTGCCTCTGTCCCAGCGTGCCCTCTCTCCCGCCCCTCAGCCCACGTGGCCTCCCACCCAATGCTGCTGTGCCCCAGGGACTGATCCGGGGCCCGCCCTTGTGAAAAGCAGCTCCTTCATAACTTCTTCAAAAACATTAAAAAATCAAAAGGAAATAAACAATTTGAACCTAGCAGAGGCCCACTTTCTAAGTAATGAGTAAAGCTGGGTGGAAACCGGGCCGCTGGCCCAGACATGGTGAGAAAGATCCAAGGTCACTTCTGTAGGGGCTTTGTGGGGAGCATGGACTCATCTTCCTGAGAATGTGGCCTTCAGTGTGGGCCGGGTGCGTCTCCCGGGCTGGAGGCTCAACATGTGGTGCTGTAGCTGGTGCTGGACCCATGAGGGCAGCACCTGCCATTGGCTCAAGGACTGTCCTGTGCAGAGCCAGTGCCTGGTCAAGGCCCCAACTGCCTTGAATTCTGACCCGTGGTGCCCACATGCCCCAGGTCGTTGCACTAAATGGTATTTTCTCCACTCTTTTTCAGAGAGGAAGCAGTGCATTGGTGAAGGCAACGTTAGGTGTGATTTCCATTCCTGCTGGGAGACCCAGGTCACAGCCCGGGAGCTTCGTCCAGCCTGTGGATGGAGCCTGACTGCCTGCAGATGGAACTTCTGTGTCCTCCCACCCTTGGTGGTCTAAGGTTATTGCTCTCAGAGCTGAATTGACAGGAGGTGTGTGTGTGCACGCTCACTTGTGTGCACATGCCTGCGTTTATGCGTGTTTTCACTCAACCAGAAGAGCAATTCATGGGATTTAGCCGTTTTGAGGCACCTAGAAGTTGAGGCAGTTAGATGTGCAGCCAGGTGTGAATGTAACGTGCACCATTGTATAAAGGAGGTGACTCGGTTGCTGCAGGGAGGATTGGGTTGTCTGGAAGTATTAGGTTCATTTTATATTTGTGTCAGAAGAAATGTCTGACTTTGGGGCAGATGACATAGTGGCCGCGGCCCAGGCATGGTTCCCTAGGTTGAAATCAGGGAAAAGCTAATACTATCAGACAGGTATGCGTTTTCTTTGGTGGCTGCAGGGTTTCTGCTGGAAAATGCACTATTAATCAGCACTTGTCCAAGAAAGACCCATCCGTTTCTGTTGTCATTCAAGCCACAGTTCCTGATTTACTCAGACAAGATACTGGGCCAGTTCAATGTCTCTAGCTGAGCCTGACCTTGGGGTTTGCGTCTCAAGTCTGAAATCTTGTTCAGTCCTCTGTGCATAGTTTTGTCTCATTTTAATGACTGCATCTTCTTGGTACATTTATTATACTCAGAACTGAATGGCACACAATAGCCTTGTGTTAATAAAAGCTACCGTAGCACTATGGGTGAACCGCTGAGTTGAAGTCCGATGGACTCTACGATGCAGGTATCCAGAAATACGTTGTAACTCTACCTGCCTCCCTGCCAGCCTGGCTCCTCCTCTGGGGGAGCTCCTGGCGTGGTCCTAGTGTTGTCCTGCATGGGAACAACAGCTGCATGGGCCAGCTGTTTTGGATCTAAAGATGTGCAGTGAAACTCAGATTCACATCCCTCATGTTTATTTGGGTCATCATGGTTTTGCATGTTGTATATATGTCTGGTGCACTTCATACACCTCTATCCACCACAGGCACTCTTAATCACAGTCTGTAATAGTAATAAGGCAAACTATACAGCAAAGAGAAGCATGTAAATATGTACCAATTCTTATGAAGTTGTAATTGTTTATATGTAAAAAGTATGTATATACGAAAGGGAGAAGGTACAAGGAACGTGCTGAATAACATCCAAACTGCATTGCATCCCTGTCCCATTCCTGAAAGCTCACATCTAGTTGGAGCGTCAGTTCCTCTCCTCAGATATCATTGTTCTCACTCTTCTATCATAGGCACCTTCTTTACATCTGATTACAATATCCAGCATTTCAGAACTGGGTTTTTGCCCCCAAAAAGGTAAATATGAACATTTATCACTGACTCCTCCTGGTCCAGTGAGCAGCAGCAGAATTCAAGTATTTAAAAATAAGGTGCATTTCTAAATTGTAGGCTATACCTTCTTTTTCCAAACCAATGGGCTAGAGTGAATTTCCTCTGAGTACTTGGGCTGTCTTACTGCTAGCTTTTCTAACAGGGGAAGTCTGTATAAATGCATCATCCGCTAATAACGCAAGAGGAAGGACCCTGAAATGTGGCCAGAAATGCTTACTGTGTAACCAGGACATCAACATTTACATCATATTGTATTAACATCATCACACTCTGTGCTCAACACACAGAACAACATAGATACTTCAGTTTGTCTAAAGTAAAAATCCACGTAAATCGCAGATTTCTTTGTTGACACCAGTGTGTTGTTTACCTTGTGCCCACGGTCCAGATTTTGAGCTGGAGAAGGACTATGGCTGTTCCTTAAAGTCTCTGCCCTGGCAGAATCTGTAGCCTTCAGGATACCCCGAGTGCCTTACAGGGCTTGTGAACACCGACAGTAGAAGTCAAAAAGAAGAGAGTGCCCAAGCGTGGGTTTGGAGGCACTGATGCATTCGCCAACACTCACTGTCATCCCAAAACCCTGAGAGGGAGTATGTGTTTTAACACAGAGTGGAATTTAAGTTTAGGCTCAGGAAACTCATATTCTGAATATAGGTATCAAATCATATATTTGTTTACTGTATATTTTTTAAAAAGCTTTATTGTAAATTTATGCAAAAACTAACCGGCCCATTTTCTTATGGCAGCATGCCGAGCAGTGTGTGTGTCCTCCCAGGCACTCCCTTCATAGTCACCCTCTAACCACGTGACATTCTGTTCAGTGCTAGTCCGTATTCACAGGCCTAACGTAGGTTTGTATGGTGATCTACGAGATTTTACACATATTTTTGTATTGTGATTCCTATGATATATACCAGAGAATTTTTACTCATTTGTAAATTATTGTACAGTTTTAATAAAAAATGTTTTAAATCTTAGACGATTAAAGTCCCTTCAAAGGTATTAAAGTTTGAACTGAAAGCCGTATGAGCCATTTCTGCACTTCTGAGTTCATTCCCTGAACAGTGCCTCTGAACACCAAAAACGGGGTCTGCGCCTTCCGCCCACTGTGGAGGAAAGCCCCAGGTCTCACCTGCGAGATCACCTGGAGGGCAAGCTCTGCAGTCAGGGGTGCCCGGCAGCACCTGGCTCAGGTCGACCACCTGGGAGACTCCCTCCTGTGGCTGTTGGTCAAATGTGAACCATCGAAGAGATCGAACAATTAGGAAAGGGACGGAACTTCTGCACATGCATGAGAACAGTTGGGGATGTTTGCCGTGGACGGTCCCACAGGTGAGTAACAGACATATTAATCATTGAGGGGTGGGGGAGCCAGAGGAGGACGAGGGGGTGGGAAGCTGCTCGACCTAGCTCTGCTGGCTCAGGCCCCGCCAGTACTCGAGGTGACTCAGTGTCCGAACTCTGGCTTTGAAGTGCGGACTGCGCTAACAACGCAAAGGCCCGAAGTCTCTGGGTTCAAATTCAGCCGTTGCAGGCTGGGTAGAGTGAAAGATGGAGTGACAGCATAGCCCCCTCACCCCTGTCTCACCCCAAGCCTCTAACTCGGCTTTAAGGGAGATCAGCAGCAGTTTGCGTGGGCAGGTACCCCCCATCCAGCCCTCCACCCTCGCCCAGGGTTTCGGAGTCGGGGCCTTCTTGTCTGTCGTGGGACGGCCCAAGGGGTCTGAAAATGTGGTCGGGATTCCTGTAGCGGTTTCTCCAGTGTGCGCTCCCTGCCCGGTCTTCCCAGCGCCCACCGTGTTCGGAGGGTGACCAGCCACGCGTGGCTGGGACTAAGCGAGCGCCCAGGGGCCAGAATGGGGCGTTCAGCACCCGCTACGTGGACAGCGCCAGCTCCGCGCCGGGCGGCAGGAGGCGGGGAGAGGGCGCGGCCGCCAGGTCCGCCCAGTGCACCTGCAGCGCAGACCTCGCTGCAGGAGGCTCCGAGACCGGATCCTGTCGCTCGTTCCTGCCATGACCGCGCGGCAGCCTCAGGAGCCCGCGAGGCTTCTGGCCCGGCCCAAGCTCGGCTGCGTGTTCCGCTGCGTGGAGGACGCCTTCGAGAGCAAGACGCTGCCGCTGGACGCGCTGGGCGGCGGCCGCCGGGGCCCTCGGGTCGGGGAGCCGGTCTGCGGGGCGCGCGACGACTCGGAGCGGTCGGGCCAGCACTGCGGAGACCCCTCAACGGCCGCAGCACGTCCCCGAGGGCAGCCCGGCGTGACCCAGGCCCGTGACCCCCAGCAGGTAGTGGCCGCGGGCCCGGGCCCGGACTCCCCGAGACCCTCGCACCCGGAGGACGCCGGGCGTGGGGCTCACCCGCTCCCCTCTGCGGGGCCTCCCTCTCCACGAAGGTCCTGAGCCTTCTGGGTCCTGCGACCCCCCTGAGGTCCCGCCCGCCACCGGGTCCCGGTCCCTGGGGAGCGCGAGCGCCTCCTTCTGTCTCGCTGTCTCCGTGTCTCTCCGACTCGCGCCCCCACTCCTGCCCTCCGTCTCTCGCGGCCGGCGTGGAACAGCCTCGCGGGGTCACAGCCTGGCGCTCAGACCCTGGCCCGGGTCATCCGCGAAGGAGCCGGCTTTGGCCAAGGCGCCTTCCTGGACCGGTGCGGCTCCCAGAGCGCCGCCGCCCGGGGCTGACTGGCTGGGAATCCCGGGGCCTTGGGCGCCTCGCGTCTCCCGGGAGCTGGGTTTCGCGCTGGAGGGCAGCGGGGGCGCGGGCGGGGCCTGGCAGGACGTGTCCGGACTCTCCCCCTCGTCTCCCCGGGGTGTAAACTCCGCACACAGCCGCAGCAGGTTGAAATCCCCACCCAGCCCTTGTCCGCGGGTCCGCGCGGGGGCCCGGGGTGCAGAGATCAGACCCTGCGGCCGCCCCCGCTACGCTGGGCGGTGAGTTGGGGGAGTTGGGGGGGCCGGGGCGGGGCTTAAAGCGAAGGAGGGGCTGAGGGCGGGGGCGGGGCTCACGGGCGGAGCGGGGCCTGCCGGGGGCGGGGCCTGTCGGGGGCGGAGCCGGGGCGGGGGCGGGGCCCAGCGGGGGCGGGACCGGAACGGAGCCTTGCGGCCCCGCGCGCTCGCAGTCTGTCTCCCGCCGCCCCCACGCACGCGTCCCGGCTGACGCGTCCCCCGCCCGCCCCTGCTCGTGCCGCCGCTGCTCGTGCCGCCCCTGCCAGAGACCCCCAGGAGCAGGATGTCCTTCCAGGGCAAGAAAAGCATCCCCCGGATCACGGTGAGCCCGGCCCCGCTTCGCCCGGCGCCCCCTGCCCGCCGCCCCCTGCCCGCCGCCCCCTGCCCGCCGCCCCCTGCCCGCCGCCCCCTGCCCGCCGCCCGGAGTGGGGCCTGAACGCGGGGCGGACCCTCCTGGCCTCGCGCGTTGGGGGGGCTCTGCCTTCGCGTCTGGCCCGTCCCGGCGCCCGCCCTTCCCTGCCCGGCTTCTTCACGCTCCAGGGTCCGAGAGTCCCCGCGAGCGCCGCGCAGAACCCCTTACGGAGCGGGGCGCCCAGGCCCGGCCCTGCCGGCTTCCAGGAGCCTCGGCTGAGCCCGGGGAGAACCCGGGGCCGGGCGGCCTGTCCCTCGGAGCGCTGGAGGCTCCTTCCTCCCGCGGCGGCCGGGCCGGCGAGGCGGGCGGACGCGGCCCTTTGTTGGCCCGGGCTGGTCCGGGGCGCGGGGAGATGCCGTTCCCGGCACAGCCCGTGGGCCGCCCGCCCCTTGGACGCACTGGCGCCGCGTCGGGAGCCCTTTGTCCGAGACAAAGCGATTCAGCCCCAGCCGCTCTGGCCGGAGTCCCTGGTGGCCCCGAACCCTCCACTAACCCGGGTTCAGCGACTCCAAGGAAAGCGAGCGGTCACGGGCCACTGGCCGGGCGCCCCGGCAGCCCCCGAGCCTCCGAGAGCGGAGACCCCTCCCCAACACCCACACGCACCGGCGCGGGAGGTCCCGCTCTGCCGGAAACAAAGCCTCCCCACTCGGGAGGCGGGAGATGGGGTGGGAGGAAGGGAGGCTTCGGGACCCGGCAGCACCTGGGCGGGGGAGTCCATGGGGTCCCAGACCCGACTCTGGACTTGGCCTTGGCGGGAGGGCCGTGGGGTCTGACCTCTGGCATTAGCTCAAGCCGTGGGCTGTGGGCTCCACTCCCCGAGACGCTGAGGGAGGAAGGAGCCCTCCCCTCTCCAGACTGCTGCCTTCAGAGGGTTCTGCCCGGCTGGGTCTGGTCTTGATGCAGGAGATCCTGCCAGCCAGCTGGCATGTGGGGGTCGAGTTTGGGGGTGGCAGGAGGACCCCTTCCCGGGGCAGGTCAGGCATCCATGTCAGTGCGGGAGGGCAGCTGCTTCCAGGGAACTTTCACCCTCATCTGGTTGAGCCCAGTTAGAAGAGCATGGCCCCACCCCCCAGCTGTGTCTCTTCTGGGGTCCAAACCCAGCCTGAGTGTGGGTGCCTGAACACTTGGGTGTCTATGAGCAGAGAGCCCAGACCACAAGTCTCCTCAAGCCTCCCTCTGCCCAGTTGCGTTTTCTAGGGCTTCCTTGAAAATGCATGGGTCCCCTGGGAGGGGTGGAAAGTGAAGAGGAGGGGCAGCTCCGGGAAGGCAGCCAGGGCCTGATTCGGCTACAGAGGCTCCAAATGCATGGTGGTGCGGGGTCAGGGCTGGGCCTGGCGCTCAGCTGGGACTGGGCAGGAGGAGAGGTGCAGCAGCTGGGAACGGACAGCTCTGTAGACCAAGGGTCTAAAACTTCTTCCACAACCTGCCCGAGAATAAATGTTGTCAGCTTTGTGGACCACACTGTTCCTGTCGCAGCTGCTTGACCCTGCCAGGAAAGCAGTCCTGGACACTTAGGAAGTCAGTGGGCACCAATGTGTTCCAACAAAAGTGTATCTGTGAATGCTGCAGTGTGAATTTCGTAGAATTTTTATGAGTCATGATATACTCTTTTTATTGTTTTCAGTGAATATACGAGAACCATTCTTAGCCTAGGGCTGCATGAAGATAGGTAGAGGATTAGGTCTGGCCTGTGGCATAGTCTGCCAGCCGTTTGTAGACTACGGGGTAGTGGTTTACACGTCACTGGGATCCTGAAAATACAGCCTCACAGATGTCAGCAGTGAATCCTGTAATGGGGCTACTAGATAATGAACTCCTTCTCATTCCGAGAGTTTTACGAATTGTGCACTTCAGTTTAATGCTCTTGGCTTCAGACTGACGGTGTGTGAAGGCTGCAGCCCCGGGCTAGGACTCTGGCCACCTATGGGTGGGCCCCAGAAACCCAGGGCAGACAGCTGGACCTCCCTGTTAAATGCAGATGGTCAGTGCTGCGTGGTCAGTCGTTGGGCGTGCTGAGGCGCACGCGAGACAGTGGAGGGAAAAGCGCTGCCAAGTCCAGCGCGTGTGTGCGTCCTTCTCCACCTCCTTTCGCTCCTTTTTTGTGTTTCTCTCCCACATTCTCCACTGAGGTCAGATCTTCACCTCTGACGGTCATGCAGAGTCCCATCAGTGACACCCCACTTTCTGCCTAATCTTCTGCTTCCCGGCCATCTGGTAGGATTCTTAGAGGGGGATTTATGACTGCCGAGCACTGGAGTCAATCCCTGCCTAATGCCACAGCTCTGTGCTGCCAGGGCTGACCCACTGAGAGCCGGCCTCACCAGCCTGACGCTCTGTGCCCCACTGGGAGTGCGTCCAAGCTGCACTGGAACCTGAGGTCACCCCATCTCTTCCCCATCACCCCCATGGCCTCTTGATCAGCAGGTCCTGCCCTCCTGACTCCCAGCCTCTCTGGAATCCACTGTCCTCCCATCCCTTCCCATAGTCCTGTCCCAGAGCCCCTCATCTCACTCAGACATCACTCCAGCAATGATCCTGCTTCCATTGTTAAACATCACAATCTACTTTCTAACACAGCAGCCAAGGTGATCTCTTTAAAACATCAATCAAACTAGGATTGAAACTTGCTTAAGGCCCCTAGTCAGGGGCAGCCATGGAGTCCCCAGGCTTACACATCCGGCCCCTGCCAAGCTCTGGGCACCAACCTGCCTCTGGCACCACCACCCCACCGGAAGGTTCCAGACCTCGGCCTCCTCCCAGGTCTGCTGATGGCAGCTCAAGCCCTTTCCTGCCCCAGGGCCAAGCTGCTTCCTGGCTGGAATGCTCACCATATCCGCCTTGCCCCTGTATCAGCCACCTCCGCTCCAGAGGTCCTCTTCCCAGCCCCTCTGTCATGGCCCTGCCATGGCGCCCTCACTGTGCTCTGTGCATTCGTCACTGTCTGTGTGCATGTGTGTTTTTGCTGCCGGTGGTCTCCCCTCAGTGGGAGGCAGCCTCCTGGGGTGGGGACCATGCCTGTGGGGGCGCTGCTCTGCCTCCACCTCCTGGCACCAACACTGGTCTGCAGTGTTTGGGTGGAACCAAAGCCCAGCTCTGTCAGGTCCCATGTGGGTGGAAGACTGGTGGAGGAGAGCAGGATCCCTGAGGCTGCACAGGAGGCCATGAGACAGCGTTCACCTCCTACCTCAGGCTGGGGCTCCTTAATCCGATGGTAAATTAGAAGATATAAATATGACCTGTGGCACTGCCACACTTCCACCAACACGGGCTTTGCCCTCAGTGAGGCCTGGGCAGCAGCTCTGGGGTGTGCGTGGCGCTTCCAGGGGCAACTGGTTTTGAGTACCTGGTGCCACTTTTTGGGGAATAGTAAACCACTGCAGGCTTTCGTGCACGTTTTTACATCTAGAAATTTTGCCTGAATGTTTCAATCATAATTCCAGAGAAAGGAGTTGCACGAAGGGTGTTGCTGAGTAACTCAGTTTGGAGAAAAATTACCGTTTGTTGTTCCAAATAGAGTGACCGCCTTCTGATCAGAGGTGGGAGGATCGTGAATGACGACCAGTCCTTTTACGCTGATGTGCATGTGGAAGATGGCTTGATAAAGTAAGTTTCTGCCGAAAACACATTCCCAGCTCTTGTGTGTACACACTGGTCACATGGTATCCAGGGCAGTTAAATAAGTCCCAGCTCATGTTGTACCACGTCCACATGGTATCCAGCAGTTGAAATACGTCTTCCAGCTCGTTGTACACCTGGTCCACAGGTATCCAGGCATTGACTTTTGGGTGAAATCCATGGGAGAGGTTTCTTCTTTTCCAAACCCATCCTTGGCAGCAGTAACCTGGTGTCCACTGTCAGAGCCCCGGCCTTCGGTGAGGGCAGAGGCATGTCAGGTGACTGTAGGGCAGAAGCAGGACGCCAGCTTCCATGTTTCTTTGTTCATCATGGCACTTAGTACCGTGCCTGGCTCACAGCAGGTGCTTCCTAAATACTGGTGCCCACACCTGTTAGCGCATCTGCTTCTGTCTGTCAAGCCGCTCCCTCCTGTAGTCAAAAAAGTAGCAACCAGGGACCTGAGTGGAAGACCACAGGGCGTGGCGTCTGCGCGAGGCTGGACCCCGCAGTGACTGTCCTGAGCTGTGCTGAGGGATGCTTTGTTCCCTGGCACTCCCGAGGAGCTGGTCCAGTGAGTGGCTGGCCGTGCCGGCCTTTTCCCTGGGGTCTGCAGCTCACGCAAACACTCCAGCTCTGCGGCGTTGCTGGGAGCCCGTTTGGGCTCTGACCTGGGTTCACTGTAACCACTGAAATCTCTGCTGCTTTCAGACAAATCGGAGAAAACCTCATCGTCCCTGGGGGCATCAAGACCATTGATGCCCACGGCCTGATGGTGCTTCCCGGTGGCGTTGACGTCCACACAAGGCTGCAGATGCCCGTCCTGGGCATGACCCCGGCTGACGACTTCTGTCAGGGCACCAAGGCAGCGCTAGCAGGAGGAACCACCATGATCTGTGAGTGTCTGGGTCTCCTCCTCTACAGGAGGCAGCCAGCGTCTGCCGCCCTCCCTCTGGCCAGGTGTGTGTGGGAGGAGGAGTGTCATCTAAAGGTGCCTTTATTGCATCTGTCTGAGAACCTGGAGTGCCTTTCTTATCCCTGTGTCTCGCCCTGGGTGTTTCTGCGTGGCCAGCTCTGGAATGCTCCTGGGATTTCCAGGACGGGAAATCAGTGGACTGACGTGTGTCCACTCGTTCTTTCCTGGGCACTAGTAGCTGGCCCAGAGCTGGGGTTTGGAAAACTCAAATGCCTTGGGCAAGGGGATGGGTCGTGCTTTCTGAAATGCCAGATACATGTTTGACCTTGAGCCACATGCCTCGGAAGCTTGATATGTGGAAGGTTCTTGCTCATGTCAAGAAGAGTAAAGGATGGAGGCTGTATTTTTAGAAAAAAGATAAAAGCAATGCTCATCATTATCCCATCAAAAAATAACCAGAGTTGCTATTTCTGTAGTGCTGGCTGCGTGCCCGGCACGGGCTCTATCCTGACACCCATCGGCTCACATGCTCTCCTCCTAAAACCCTCTCAGCTAAGCCCAGTTTAACAGGCGGGTGAGGGGAGTCCACCTGCCCACCATGAGCACGTGGTGAGCTCAGGAGCCAGGACGAGGCCCCAGAGCCTAGACCCTGACCGCACTGCGTGGCCTTGGGTGCCATTCTCTCCGCTGCGTCCGTCTGGTGCAGATATCACTGCTGTGGTTGAGAATGGGTCTGAGGGGCCTAGCTGAACCTGGTTCTATAGTTTTCTAGCGATGTGACTCCAGATAACTCAGCTGGCTTTTACAAGCCACACTTCGTTGACCTGTAAAACAGAACGCTGGCCTCACAGGCTTGTGAGTCATGTGTGAGTTAATGCACGTAAGTTGCTTTGTGTCCCTGGCGTGCCAGGGAGGGCAGCTCTGAGGACCCTGAGACGCCTCACAGGGACACTTAGCCGTTGCCAGGTCACAGCTTGGTTTGGTTTCCTCAGCCACAAAGGGAGGGAAAACCAGCAGCCCACCTTGCAGTCTGAGGAGACTGGCCACTGCTCACGCCCTTTGGGCGGCGGCCCAAGCCGGTCAGGACGTCTGCACAGTCGAGACCACCTGCTTTGTGCCAGTGCCAAGGCACCCGGCCAGCTGTGGGTCCCCGCGAAGACAGAGAAACACCACAGACACGAGGCTGGCCTCTGTCCTGCCTCTGTCTTCCTCTGCCTGCAGGCCCAGGCTGGCACTGTGGGTGGCTGCAGGGAGGGTGGGTGCCCACTTCATCCTGTTGGGTTGTGTAGGGGCCCGAGGGAGGGCTGTGCTGGAGGAAGGCATCCCTGGTGGGCATGCCTTCCCGTCAGACCACCTGGCTTGGAGCTCTCTCCTGGCTGCACCAGGAGAGGCCAGTGAGCAGTGTTGGGGCCTTGGGTGTGTGGTTGGTGGGGCAGCAGCACGATGGCTACGTGCAGGGGGCAGGATGGCCCCTTTCAAGTCTTGTGGAGCCAGTGGGACACTCGGGAAACCAGCCCAGCTCCCACTGTTCTAGGAAGGCACTGAGAGACGGGTCCCAGCACCTTGGACAGCACACTGGCCCTGTCTGGCCCTGGGGGTGCCTCACCCAGGCTGAGACAGGAGCTGGAGGCAGGCAAAGCCCTGACCTCCCGCACTTCTCCAAGTGCGATGTGGGAGTGGGGTGGGGTGGTTTGGGGTGGGGCTCTTCCTCTCTCCCCTCTCCCTTCTGTGCTCAGAGGGTGGCTGGGGGACTTGGGTCAGAAGGTTCCTCTTTGAACAAAGTGACAGAACAGGTTCGTGACAGCGTCATCCTCTCTCAGAGGCCGGTGGCCTCTGCTGTGTCTCCCTCAAATGGTCCTCTGGTGTCTTGGGAACATGAAACAGTCTCCCATGGAGGAGGCAGAGGTGGGAACCGGGGACCGGTGGGGGAAGCTGCTGACCATGCTGCCTTCACAGTGGACCACGTCTTCCCCGACACGGGTGTGAGCCTGCTGTCAGCCTACGAGCAGTGGCGGGAGCGGGCGGACAGCGCGGCCTGCTGTGACTACTCCCTGCATGTGGACATCACCCGCTGGCACGAGAGCATCAAGGAGGAGCTGGAGGCCCTGGTCAAGGAGAAGGGTGAGGGTGGCTGGAGGGGCTGGAGGGCGGGCATGGAGCCTGGCGGAGGGGCCTCTGCCCTGACCCTGTGTCCTGCTGGTGGTGCTGATCTCCCCCAGGGGCCGGTGTCCAGGTTTGAGTTGAAGTTGGAGAAAAGCCATTTGAAGGCCCATCCCACCTTCAGAGGCTCTAGACCAAGAGGCCTTCTCTTTCCCAATCCAAGGGACCCACCCTGGAATTATCCTCCCGATGACAAGATACAGCAGGTCCCTGGTTTCTTAGAAAAGAGGCTGCCCAGGGTGCAAGAGCAGCAGTTCCCCATCTCCTAGCATTTGGGGATCCTTTCAGAGGGAGACCCTTTAAATCCGTATCTTTTTGTTGTCATCTATGCTAAAACATCAGCCTATAAACAAGTTTAACATTTTCCCCACAAGAAAACCCTGAAGCTAAAACCACATCAGAGTTTCATAGTGGGTTTGACAAGTGTCATATCTGATTATAACTGCTCTCTCCTAATCTGAGTCCAGCCCACAGCTTCCGGCCTGGAGGTGGGGGCGGGATGGGGTCCGAGCAAGCCCAGGAGGCTGTCAGGCCCTATGGACCTGAAGGAGACAGGGGCGTTTCTTCAAGGCCATTCCTCTGGGTTCCCATTCCCCAGAGGGTGATGGTCATCACACAGGTACCCCTTGGTGTCAGGATCCCTCACCTCCCTGCCTGGGGGCTGGTGGAGCCCGTCAGTCCTTGGTCCCTGGGCCTCACTCCAGGCAGCTGCTCTGCCACCCATGCTTTTCTGTGAGTGGACCCGGGAGGCCTGTGGCCTCGTGTCTCAGAGCGGAAGTGGAAGCAGGGCCTGCACCTCCCCTCACCCTGCAGGGGCACTGCTGGGGCCTCTGCTGCCTGAGAGCCACGCAGGAGTTGTAGGTCCTGTGCCCACGGGGTGGTGTTGCGGGGACAGCCCCACATCCCATCACCTTCATCAGACACTTGGGGGCAGACCCCAGATGCCAGGTCACATGCAGGTTGCTACCTAGAGGGATGGCTTGTGGGACACAGGCTGACTCGGTTTCCCCAGCGTGCCTTAGCGGGTCACACTAGCACTTTCCACCTAGCCAGGAGGGGGGTGCCATGGGCTGGGTGGGCTTGAGTGATGGGAGGTTGGGATCCTGCCTCCAGGCCCAGGCGGGTCCCCACACAGGTCCCAAGTCCCAGGGGAGGTGGATGGGCTCTGGCTGTCCAGGAAACAGGAGAGCTCAGCCCTCCTGTTTGGGCCCCAACGTCAGAGGCAGCCCTTGGTCCTTCCGCTCGTCCTAAGGGCCCAGCCCTGAGATCTGGGCGGTCCCACAAGCCTGCACCGTGAGCCAGGCATGGCAAGCGGGCCTCCAAGGCCCCACAGGCAGGTGCTGGATGTGCTGGTCGGCTAGAATGGAGGTCACCAGGGCAGCGCGGCCCGGGCCGCACTTCCAGTGGGGGCCAGTGGAACTCAGGCCGAGAGCCCAGGCACAGTGGCTGTTCCAGTAACGGGGGGTCTGCTGGACGGGTGTGAGGGGTTCTCACCTGCATTTGCCACTGGGTGGACAATCAGTTTTTAACCCGGAGCACAGGAGCAGGCAAGTGAGGGCTGCCTCGCCTCACTCCCCAGCTGGCTGGTGTGTGCGTGGAAGCAGGGGTCTGCTCGCATGGCTGGCAAGCCATCCATGGAAGCACTGCGGGAGAGGGGCCCAAGACCCTCCAGTGGGCAGGGAGCAGCAGAGCCTCCTCGGGTTGTCTGATTGGTGATGGCTGAGCCTCTGATCCCCACCTCTTCTCCAGGTGTGAACTCCTTCCTGGTCTTCATGGCATACAAGGACCGGTGCCAGTGCAGTGACAGCCAGGTAAGGGCAGGCGTGGAGAAGGGAGTGGGCAGGTGTGTCCCAGGCCACTGCTGGCACAGGCGCAGTCCTGCCCAGGACCCACCACTTCTCTTCCCAGATGTACGAGATCTTCAGCATCATCCGGGACCTGGGGGCCTTGGCCCAGGTGCACGCTGAGAACGGGGACATCGTGGAGGAGGTGCTGTGGGGCAGGGCTGCCGGTGTGGTGGGGGCTGCCGTGGGGCGGGGCGGGGGTCTGAGGGTGACCTTCATGTTACGCAGACATCAGCACAGAATCCCACACAACCTTGAGGGAGGGTCACAGCTTACCCTGAGTCAAAGGTCAACCAGTGAGTTAGACTGGGCGGGGGTAGGGAGCTTTGAGGCCTTAAAACAGCTTCTTCTCGATCCACACTTCTTACCCAAATACCTCAAAACCAAAGTGTCAGCCCCATGGATCCAGGCCCCTCCTGTGGAGTGGTGTCCCCTCTGGGGTTTGGGTTGCCACCTTCCTTCCAGCCAAGGGCACCCATGTTGACAGGGCCACATCCTTCAGACACATCCCATTGGGCTGGGGAGGGCCGGAGCCCACGTGTGGTGCCGCCGATCCCCCAGGCCCCTGGGCCCCGCCCCTTGTTTCCCCTCCAGCTCAGGCACCCATGGGTACAGATGGAGTTCAGAGAGTGGGCCACCCCATCCCTGTGGGACCTCAGTGGGGGTCACCACACAGGACACACCTCCCTGACACTGCAAACCCACAGTGAGACTTCCTGGGATGGGACGGGCTCTGCCCACCTCCTGAGCGCTACAGGAAGGTGGTGGCACTCGGGCAGGGGCACGTGGGGGGTCCCCAGTGTCCTCATCCACCCGTCCAGCTGCGAGGGCATCGGGGCATCACAGACACTTCTGTGGCCCAAGGCCAGGCCCCGGCTGCACCGTCAGGAGGTCGTCCTGGGTCCAGCAGATGCTCCACATACAGCGGGAGGGAGCCTCAGTCCTGGGGCTGCGTCTCCTGGCCAGTACCATGTCTTGCCCGACACGAGCAGGCGCTGTAGTGCACATTGCCACGGAAGGGCAGTTTTGGAGGAAGGAGTGGTTGTCCATTCCTGACCTGCAGAGCCCTCCCCGCCTGTGTGCACCCCCACACGTGCCCCCGCCGGGGGAGTCAGCATCATGGGCACGGTGGAGGCGGGTGGAGTCTTGGTGCCATCAGTAAGGAGCTCTGCAGCCTCGGGCAAGCCACTTCCCCTATCAAGCTGTCCTCTCCTTGGTAACTCAGGGAGCAGGAATCGCGCCTCTCCAAGCCCCTTCACCCTCTGTTCTGAGTTCTCTGGCTGGCAAATTCTGGGAGGCCTGAGGGTCCAGGACCACTTGGGGAATGGGGCCTCCCAGCCTTGGGATTAGCATCCAAGGCCCAGGCTCCCTTCAGGGCTGGAGCAAGGCATCCTGTTGCTTTCTTTAGGAGCAGAAGCGGTTGCTGGAGCTTGGCATCACTGGCCCTGAGGGCCACGTGCTCAGCCACCCCGAGGAGGTAAGATCCCAGGGCACCACGGCACACCCGAGCGAACTCTGCCCAGACCGCTGCTGCCTGGGGCTGTGCTGACTCTGGCCCTGGGCTCCTGGCCCTGCCACTGTGCTCGCCCTGACCTCATCTGGGAGGCATGAATCCCCCCTCCACCACCCTACAACCTGTACCCAAGGCCCAGAACGTGGTGTGGGCAGACCTAGGCACTGAGCCCAAGGCTGGGGCGCTCCTACTAGGCTGCCCTGAGCCTGGGATCCCATGGGTGACCCCTGGGCATCCCCATTGCCCACACTGGTCTAGAGCCCTCGTGTGGCCTGATCCTTCCTACCTCGTCCCCAGGTGGAGGCTGAGGCGGTATACCGAGCTGTCACCATCGCCAAGCAGGCCAACTGCCCACTGTACATCACCAAGGTGATGAGCAAGGGGGCGGCCGACGCCATCGCCCAGGCCAAGCGCAGAGGTGAGCGCCCAGCCCCGCCTCTGATGCCGGGGGGCCATGGTCTTGGCCTCCTGGGTGCAGCCCTGGGGAGATGCAGGTGCCCTGAGTCCCTGCATCGGGGTGGGGCTGAGTTTCCAGCCGCTCCAGGGCCCCGAGTCCCTGCATTGGACCGGGGGGGGCTGGACCTGAGTCCCTGCGTCGGGGTGGGGCTGAGTTTCCAGCCTCGTTGGAGCGGCAGCTGCTCACCAGGGCCCTGAGGCCAAACATGGGGCTGCTCACCCTGTTTCCAGTGGGGGTGTGGGGGGGATGGAATGATGAGATGAGTGTCTGAGAGAGAAATCCAGTTCCACCAAGGAGGGCCCCCCATATTAGTATTTGCTGTCCAGAGCTGGGGTGCTACCTGCCCACAGAATGCCAGCCAGCTGGAGCCTGGCACTGCAGAGCCTTAGACCCGGGGATGCAGGGTGGGTGGGGGGCACACAGAGCTGTGATTGGCAGGGGCTTGACTGTGGGGTCCCCCAGAGGCTACTGGGCTCAGAGGGTCCAGGGAGGTCCAGCAATCACTGGGGCTGGAGATGGCCAAGGATCCAGGTGCAGAACCCAGGTGACAGGTAAATGAGGGGGCATCCCCAAGAAGGCCTCTGGGTCTGGTCTGGTTTCCCCTCCTCTTGCTGTCCCCACTGAGTCCTGAAACCTTGTTTTCTGGGCCTGCCTGGGGCTGTGCAGGTCCCTGGCGCAGGGAAGCGGGGCGGGGGGGGGGGCGCTGCCGTTCTCTGTGTTTCCTGCATCGAGGGTTGAAACTGAAATCCGCTCAGTTAACTGGGAAAAGGACTCTGAGGTGTGCAGGTGAACGGCGGTCTGCAGGGGCAAGGCCTGGGCCTCACTCAGGACACCAAGCAGCCTTGGAACAGCAGGCCAGGCCCTTCTCGGGGGTGCCCCACCCCACCTGGGAGCATTTCTCACCCACCAACTGGTGGGAGCCGCTTCAGCTGTGAGCTGGAACCCTGGTGAGGCCATGACCAGGGCACCCCAGGCCGGTCAGCCCCCATGCAGCTCACCACGCCTCACTGCGGCCCACAGGCACGCCCTGGCCCCGCTGGAGTGCCCGGGGTCCTGGGGTGGGATGTGGGCAGAGAAAGGACCCCCAGGGCCAACCACATCTGTCCGGGACCCAGGCCTCTGCCCTCCTGCCCATGACCAGGGACTCTAGACAGGGGACAAGCTGTCTGAGGCCAAGAAAGTGAGGGGCAGTCGGGGGTGTCAGCAGCAGCAGTGCTCGGGGTTCCATGGGGTGCAGGTGGTCAGCAGAGCACCTCTCATGGGCCTCATGCTCCAGGGGTGGTCGTGTTTGGGGAGCCCATCACTGCCAGCCTGGGCACCGACGGTTCTCACTACTGGAGCAAGAACTGGGCCAAGGCCGCAGCCTTTGTCACGTCGCCCCCCGTCAACCCAGACCCCACCACGGCAGACCACCTCACCTGCCTGCTGTCCAGGTAAGCAGCCGCTCCAGGTGGCCCCAGATTGGCTACGCACTGCACACCCTGCCAAGCCTGTGGCCCACTGGTGGCCCTGACACCCCAGGCCTCTCCCACGGCTCCCGTGGGGCAGCCCAGACAGTGGCGGGTGGGGGAAGTCTGAGCCCTTTGGTCCCAGCTGGGGCTCCCCTGGCAGGAACCAGTCCCTGCTCCCCTGCATAGAGGCACCAGCTTTGCCCAGCGAGAGCCGCTCAGACGACCTCTAGCCCCTGCGGTTGTGCTGGCCAAGGGGGCTGGAGCTGACCTGGCTTCTGCTGGCTCAGGAAGGCCAGGACCCCTGGGCCCCTCTGACCCTGGCTTGTTTCCAGTGGGGACCTCCAGGTGACAGGCAGTGCCCACTGCACCTTCACCACTGCCCAGAAGGCCGTGGGCAAGGACAACTTCACGCTGATCCCTGAGGGCACCAACGGCATTGAGGAGCGCATGTCGGTGGTCTGGGAGAAATGTGTGGTGAGCACAGACCTGGCCAGGGCACGCCGTCTGGGGAGCGGCTGTGGGCGGGATTCTGACAGCTGGTCAGAAGGGAACCCACCTAACCAGTGCACACTCGTGAAACAGATCAGAGCACACGGCTCCAGGGTGGCAGATCCTCCACCCAGGGCGCCTCAGACACATGGTTCTGGCCCCTCCAGATGAGACTCCAACAGCATCAGGGGCAGCTGGTAGCCCCCCCACCCCCAGCTGACTCTAGTGTTGCCTGGACACTGGGTTTGCCCAGGGGTCAGCATGGGGGCTCCACGCTGTGACGTTAGTGCTCCGCCTGCAATGCCCTCAGGACCTATTGCCCTATCCTGGGCCCTCCCGCATCCTCAGCCTCACCTCCCGGTCCTGGGCCCTCCCGCATCCTCAGCCCCACCTCCCCGTCCTGGGCCCTCCCACATCCTCAGCCCCACCTCACCCAGCAACTGAGCTCTTTCCCTCAGCTGCTCCTGCCTCCCCAGCCTCCAGGGCTCCCCAGGGAGACTGTCAAGTCCTTCAGGGCACACGGGTATCGACATTGAAGCTTCACCCTTGCTGAGCCTTCATGGAAGCTTTGCCCACAAAGTGAACGCAGAAAAGCTTCGTGCAGGAAGGGGCAGACCAGCGGGCATCACTGAGATGGGCTAATTCCCCAGTGCAGCCTGGCAGGCGTTCTTACCCCCCGAGTGTTGCCATGGCGAGGGCCGTGGCTGGAGCCCTGTCCTGATCTTGGCTGCCTGGGTGGCACTCTAGTGCCCGTCTTCGTGGGGGCTTGGTATCCATCTTTGTGGGGCCCCAGCAGTCCAGCATCCAACCTTCCAGAGGCCCCGTGTCCTGCTGTCCAACCTTGTGGGGGACCCGGTGGCCCAGCGTCTGTCCTCACAGGGGCCTGGTGGCCTGGCATCCATCCTTGCGGGGTCCTGGTGGCCTGGTATCCATCCTTGTGGGGGGCCCGGTGGCCCAGCATCCGTCCTCGTGAGTACCTTGTGGCCCAGCGTCTGTCCTCACGGGGGCCCGGTGGCCTGGCATCCATCCTTGCGGGGTCCTGGTGGCCCAGCGTCTGTCCTCATGTGAGCCTCACCCCAGTCCCACCCATCACCCTCAGCTCAGCCTTCTTGTTCCTCAGGCCTCTGGGAAGATGGACGAGAATGAGTTTGTCGCGGTGACCAGTACAAATGCTGCCAAAATCTTCAATTTTTACCCAAGGAAGGGACGAGTGGCTGTGGGCTCTGACGCTGACCTGGTCATATGGAACCCCAAGGCCACCAGGATCATCTCTGCCAAGAGCCACAATCTGGTAAGAGAAGGCGGCTGTAAGTCAGGGCTGGCCTTTGTGGAGCTGGCCCCGAGGCAGCCTTCCCAGAGAGGCGCAGGACAGAGGCCCATGTGGCAGCAGCAGTGGACTCAGCCATCCCAGGGCCGTCCACACAGCGTGTCCCAGGCCAGGCACTGAATTGGGCCCTGTCCACGTCACTTCGCTGCGTGACAGCTGCATCTGTGGTCCCCTTGTGCCATGGAGGAGGCCAGGGCAGAGCGGTGCTGTGTGCACCTGCCAAGGGGGAAGTGACCCTCCCTGCCTGCCCACGCCTGTCCCCGTTGTCCTCGAGAGAAACATGGGACTCAGAAACGAGGTCTGTAGGCTGAAGGGAACATAGTTCCAACCCCTAAGTCCCAGCATCTCGCTAGGGGCTCAGTGCAGGCACACTGGGCGGCCGCAGTGCTCCAGCGGCTCCGTGGGGATGGGACTGTTGGGCGCCAGCGTGGAGGCACTGGACCCTCGGGTCTCTCTCCCCAGAACGTGGAGTATAACATTTTCGAGGGAGTGGAGTGCCGGGGAGCGCCCGCCGTGGTCATAAGTCAGGGCCGAGTGGTGCTGGAGGACGGGAAGATGTTTGTCACCCCAGGGGCGGGCCGCTTCATCCCTCGGAAGACATTCCCGGACTTCGTCTACAAGAGGATCAAAGCTCGCAACAGGGTAGGGCGGCACCCGCGAGGGTGTTGTGCAGGCAGGCGGGTGGGCGCTGAGTTCTGGGACCAGAATGCACCCCCGGTCAGCCTGGCCTGGCCCCCGGAGGGGTCAGGAAGATGGAGCGGGGCCGCTGCTTGCCCAGGGCCCTGGTGGGTCTACGTGGAGCAGAGCCTGCTCCCAAAATATGGCAGGGGAGGCCCCCGTGGTGCTGGGAGCTTCAGGCCCTGGATCAGCTCTGCAAGCGCCTGTGAACGGCAGCTGAGTCCCACCCGAGTCATCCATGGTTGTTAGATAAAATACACACGTAAAGTGAGCAGACATCGACCTCCCCTGGGAGCTGCCAGTTGGGCCTTAGCGTGGGTCCTTCTGGGATTCCCCGTGGACAAATGTGGCCTGGGCTGTGTGCTCCTCTCCACACGGGCTCTCAGGAGCTCAGCCATGGGAGCCCCTCCCCTGGCCTTCCGGTCTCTTACTGTGGTGACACCACGTTTGCCTGAGATCATCCGTGTCCGACAGTGCAGCCGGTGTGGTCTGCCCGGACCACCAGGTGCTTCACACGCACAGGGACACTCGCAGTGGTGTCTGTGCACACACAAGTGCACGTGGGACCTCGGAGGGAGGATGAGCGTGTGCACCTGTGTTGGTAAGACTGAGGGGAGAGACGTGTGCACACACGTGTAGGGATCGCAGGAGGGCATTACACATGCGTGGGGAGGACTGCAAGGAGGGAGGCATGTGTGAACGTGGGGTGAACACCCCCCCAGGGCAGCCCCAAATTCCTGAAGCTGGCACTGGAGAGGCGCAGAGCAGGCCCAGCCCTCCAGCTGCTCATGCTCGGCCCCTCATGCCCCATCTCTGGCCCCACACCCCCGCAGCTGGCAGAGATCCATGGTGTGCCCCGTGGGCTGTATGACGGGCCCGTCCATGAGGTGATGGTGCCTGCCAAGCCAGGGAGTGGTGCTCAGGCCCGCGCGTCCTGCCCAGGCAAGATCTCAGTCCCTCCTGTGCGCAACCTACACCAGTCGGGGTTCAGCCTATCTGGTGAGTTGGGCCTGGGGCACCAGCTGGGGTGAGGGGCTCTGCTGGAGCATCCTGAGGGGCCCTGGGGCCTCAGGTACCAGGGACCAGCCCGTACCCAGAGGGGCTGCACGCAGAAGGCAGCCAGCTGGGGGCTGGGGCAGGAGATGCTGCTGGGGGTGTGGGGAGGCCACTCCTGCCCGCTGTCTGCCCAGGGCAGCTGTGATGAACCCCCACCTTGAAGAGAGTGGCACTGGGGTGGGGCTGTCACATGGGGTCCAGGAGTGAGTGTGGTTCCAGCCTCAGGGGAGGTGAGGGGCCTTGATGAGGACCTCAGGATCATGTGGAATCCAGGTCCCCACCCAGCTGGCCCCAGAACCAAGCTTGAGGCACAAGGGAGGGATCTGAGCTGTGTCCTGGGGCCCCGGAGGGACATGCGAGAATGCTTGGGAGGGCTCAGGCTGCCAGGGTTCGGCCTCTGGGCTCCTAGCGGTGCTTCTGGTGCATTCTCCCAGCCCGGGGCAGTGACAGCAAAGCTCTGCTCACCTCCTGGGGGCAGGTCCCTGAGAACCCAGCACTGAGAGGTCAGGGGCAGCGTTTCATCACCCGGGGCCCACAGCAGGGACGAGGCAGGACTGGCCCCGGCTCCTCTCGGGACAGGAAGGGCTTCCTGCAGGGTCAGCTGGAGCCCGCAGTCCCCGCGGCTCTTAGGATCTCCCGAGCAGCCTCACCTGCACTCTGGGCCTCAGGGATGGGAGACCTGCCGGGCACCTCATCCGCTTGGCCTTCTGGTGGTGGCAGGCGTGCAGGGGCTCCACGGTCCTGGCCCCACTGATACAGCCACTGACTCTGCCTCTCGCCTTGAATAGAAGGGACCCTGCCCCTGCCCCATTCTCCCTGCCCAATTCTCCCTGCCCACCTGTGCCCTTTCTTCAGGGTCTCAGGCTGATGACCACATCGCCCGACGCACAGCACAGAAGATCATGGCACCGCCCGGTGGCCGCTCCAACATCACCTCTCTCTCCTAGACGCCCAGGACTGGCCCTGTGAACCGTGCTGGCCCCACCCGAGGCCGCGGGGGCCCCAGGGCACTCACCCCCCCCTTTAGCGTTTTCTTTGGTAGAAAGGTGCTTGGCGATCTCGCCTCCCCCTCCCACAGACTCTCCTTGTGGGGTCCCAGGTCCTGCTGCCAAGAGCCCCTCGAGAGAAGGGCTGAACCTGGGGAGATGTCACTGCCAGGGTGAGGTGGTACCACATGGCAGGGATGGTGCCGGCAGCCTGAGCCCAGGCACCCCAGTGCCCGCTGGGCCTGGCATGGGGACAGGGAACCTGCCGGGCTCACAGAGTACGGGAGCAGCTGGACACCGGGCTTCTTGGCGAACCGACAAGGGGCCGAGTCCTGCCTGGTGGGCGTTTGCCACCTCCCCACCACCAGTCACTGCCTCACAGAGCCCCGCACGCCTGCAGCCGCTCCTTAGAGGCCTGTGCCCGTCGCGGGCCAGGGAGGAGAGTGGGAGCAGAGCCCTCCTGCCTGGCACAGCTGCTGAGACTTCAGAGACCCATCAGAAGCTGGTGCCACGCAGCCCTGCCCGTGGAGGGTTCCTTTTACACACCCCAAGGCCCACACCTAAGCTTTCGTAGTAGCCCTCGTCCGGGGAAGTTCTGCAATCCTTTAGGAAGACGCTGCTCTTGTTACAGATCGTGTATTTCCATAGGCTTCTTAGTAGCAGCTTTGTACACTGAGGACACTGTACCCAGGAACCTGTGCATGCCACCCACCGCCTGGACAGGCAGTCACCCTCCTCTGATGTGAATCGGGCCCATTAAAGACGTCTGGGTTTGAAGCCGCCTGTGCGTGGAAGGCCCCATCGCCTCTCCCCCATGCCATTTCTGCAGAGGCGGGGCCCGGCTGGCTGTGGGCTGGTCCAACTCCTGCAGCCGCAGCTCTTCTCCCCTGAACGGCAGGGAGGAGCTCAACCTCTCAGAGGGAAAAGGACTGGCAGGGCAGCCGACAGCCAGGGCAGGGCAGAGGGGGCCCCCCACACATTCTCACTGGACAGCCCGAGCTGCCCTAGAAGGCTGGGCAGCATGCACGGGAGTGTGTGGAAGCGAAGCACACACCACTGCCACCCGGGTGGGCGCTGCCCACAGACACAGGCCCAGCACTCAAGGCCGGGCAGCTGTGAGGCTCTGACCTGAGCCCCCTAAGGGGGGCTCATGTGACTGCAGTGCTGGCACATGCTGTGCCTCATAAAAAGTGTGTGTAGACGCTCCCAGATGGTTGTCCTCACCCCAAGAGCAGGGCCTGGCCACAGTCACTGGGCACTCGCTGCTGGCCGACGAGCACAGAGGGCCAGGGACTCACCTCATGCCGCCGGTTCTCTGGCCCCTGCCCGTGCATCAATGGTGATGGAGAATTTCCTGCCATGGTCTCTGGGGACCACAGGCGGGCCCATCTCTGACCCTGGGCTTCTCATTAAGCTGTGCAGAGCCCACGCAGCAGCCCTGGAGGTGGCCCTGGGCCCTCAGCATTTCCTTCCTGGGGCTCCCTCTGGCCCAGATAGGGGAGCTGACGTCCCCCACACCAGTATCTCCTGCTCTGCCCCAGTTTGGGGGGTGATCTAGGGAACCAGACAGCACCCAGACCCCACCAGTGTCTCGGAGAAGGACAAGGTGCACCACCATGTCGTGTGCCCCAAATGCACTTACACAAACCCCCACACCTGTCCCTCCCCCACACCTGTCCCTCCCCCACACCTGTCCCTGACATCACCAGACTTCCACCGAGCACAGGCGCCTCTGGGCCCTCGCAGGGACCAGGCCACCCTTCCTCGTAGTGACTTGGGCGTCTTGTCCCCCATGTCAGCTGCTGGGGCTGGAAGGCTAATTCCTGCCCTGATTCAGTGGACAGGGGTGGGTGGGGGGCGGGAAGCTGTGTTCTCTCCCCTCAGACTTCTCACTCTGCTCCTGGCACGGCCGGTTCTTCCCCAAATGTTCTTTGGCTGCTGTCGTCTCGCAGCTGTTTGCCAGGGGTGCAGCGGGGCTCGTGGACACGGGTCTAGGCACGTGTCCACCATGGCCGCTGTCCCGGGAGGGGGCACAGACCTGACACACCCATTCCCCCAGAGGAAACCAGCACAGGCCTGTCTGGAGCGCTGGGCTGATGGGCTCCTCCTCCAGCGAGACCGGAGAGAAGCGCACAGGCCGTTTACCCAGTTTCAGTTCCAACGACAGAACCACTCAGCCACAGCGAGAGGGACGTGTCCCTTTACGGAGGGCCAAGCACTGCCCAGCACTGCGGTGGCTCCCCTGTGCATGGGCTGTCCTGGGCTCCTCTGCCTCCAGCACCGTCTCTGCCTTCCACAGCCTTACGGCTCCAGGGCCACGGAGACAGGCACCCACCCGAAAGCCATGGTCCTGGAACTCTGGGGGCCTCTGCCCTGAGGAGCTGCCCCCCGACTGGCTGCCTTAAGTCCAGGCCAACCAGAAACTGCAGGCACGGGCCTGATGGCCAGGCAGGCACAGGACATGCGCAGAATATGCAACACCAAGCGGTTCTCACATTGTAATTCTCAGAGGTGAAAACTGTACAGAAATCGCTGGGGCAGTGTGAATCTCTAGAAAACATTCACCTCCCCACCCACTAACCCCAACCCGCGCCCCTGACCTCCAAGAACCGAGCCAAGCCTGGGACACCCGCGGCCTGCTCTGCAAGGGCTCACCTTGTGAGGGGGGCTGTGCACAGCCTCGGGCTGAGTGGGGACAAAGACTCCTGTCTCATCCGTGACCCCGGCCCCCCATGAGTGGTGAGAGCGCGCCCAGCAGCGCTTCCTCCATCCAGGCGGGTCTCGGGGGCCCGCAGGCAATGCCCTCCGTGCTGCCCTCCACAGGCGTCTGCTGCACCCACAGCCTCTTGTCCCCTGCACCACCACGAGCCCAAGGTGTGAAATGTGTCCGGGCACTGTGGGCACTGCCAGCCAGGCTGCTGGGTGGGAACGTGAATGCCAGGCCTCGGCCCATGGCCCTCCCTCTGGCAGCCGAGTCTCCAAAGCAGCTCAAGGGGTGAGGATCACGGGCATCCCGGCCTAGCCGCTCCCGGCCGAGGGGCAGATGGGGCCACACATGGGAAGGGCGGAGTGTTCCTCGTCCTCCACGGGCTCCGCAGCATCCCTGGGCTCAGGGGCGGGGAGAGGCTCACTCGGGAGGTCCTGGCTCCTCTTCAACCTGGGGTGGCAGGAACACACGGAGGGCGTTACGCCCCCACCTCCCTGGCCTCACGGGACAGGCCATGGCGTGGACGCCCAAGATGGGCCACAGGCTGGGTGTCTGCTGGAAAGGCCAGGCTCCCAACACACTGGGTGCAGCAGGGAGCCTGGGGGCGGGTAGCGGCACGTGAGCACACTGGCAAGGCTCGGGGTGTTTCCAGCCAGAAGCCGCAAGGCCTTCTTCTTTGCAGGTGCCACAGGTCAGTGACTTGGGAACAAGGCTCGCCTGAGCCTCATTCTTCACCCGATGGTCTGATCCCCGGGGTGCCAGCCAGTGCCCTCACCTGTCTGCACACGCCCTACAAGTCCTGCCCACGCCCTGAATATTCTGCCCACAAGAGCTCAGACACACCTCCTCCAGGAGGCCCTCCTGGCCCCACACAGGCAGAGGGGGCATCCATCCTCCCTTGGGCCCCAAGGTGGCAGCTGCTGCTATTTCTGGCCTGCCTTGCCTGCTGCTAGTCATCTGTGCCCTTCTGTCCTCTAGGGCCTGACACTCAGGAGAGGTGAGAGACAGAGTGTGCCTGGGTTGGGGAGTTGATGCGGCTCTGATGGGGCCTCCTAGGAAGTCACCACCCCTCACCTGGGCAGACGACGAGTCTCTCCCCAGATTCCAGCCACAGGCCCCGCATGGAGCTCAAACATGCCAGAGCCTGGCAGGGGCCTCCTGCCGCTCCCCTCCACAGCTGCTGCTCAGAGTCCCCAAAGAGAGTGGGGCCGTGCACCCCAGGCCCACAGAGGTCATGTGGCTGCAGGATCTCAGGGCTTGTGTGAGAGCGGGGCCACACACCCCAGGCCCACAGATGCCAGCTCATGTAGCCAAGAAAACCTTAAACCTTAGCCCCATTTTCCTCCTCTCTGCCACCACGCCCACCCACCCCCAACACACTCACTTTTCTCTGTTAAAAATCACGAAGTCTTGCTGGATTGCATCAAGGCAGTCTTGAAGATAGTCATTCTCCTGTGGACGGAAAGGCACATGTGAGTGTGGGGGACACTGTCCAGGTTCTGCCCACTCCCCTCAAGTGAGTGTCTGGGCATCCCCATCGGGCCTCCACCCGTGGCTTTCTTTGGACAATGGACTCTGGGCTGTTGAAGCATCCCGGCCCTTCAGGAGCCAGACTGCCAGGGAGCTCGCGTCCCCGCAGGTGATTCACCCAAGCCCCGAGGGATGCCGAGGCCCAGCTCCCTTGCCTGAGGGTGGATGGCTTGGTCTTGCTCCATGGGGTCTGCAGGACCAGGCGGAAGCTGTTGTCTGCAGGACTTTGCTGGAAACCACTCCCTTGCCAGGCCTTTCCTGTCTCATACCAGCTTCTCCCAGCCCCTCATCACAGCACACACAAGCCCATCCCAGGCCTGCTTCTGGGGCCCTGCCCAGAGAATCTTGGAACCAGGGCTGTCTTAGAAGCCAGCCCTCAGGACAGGTTTGTGGACTGAGGCTGCCCCTCGCAGGACCCACCCCCTTGGTGGTGTGTGATGGGCAGGCAGGACTACTTCCTTCAGGCAGCAGGACCACTTCCCAAGACGCAGGAGTCGGGAGCGTGTGGGTGGGGTGGAGGGGGTGCTGGTCACTCAGCGCTGGCGTGGTGTGGGGAAAGCATCATTATGGTGACCACGGACTTGGATGGTGACGTCGGTCACTGGTCACTACCAACGTGTGAGCAAATGACAGACCCAGATCAGTCAAGTCACAATGGAGAGTGCAGGGAGTCGCAGGCCTCGGGGCGGCGTTAAAAGGGCCCCCATCTGCAGCTGAGGAGAAAGGATGCCCACTTTTGAGGACCACAGAACCTCAGATCCATAGGCTCAGGAAGTCACCCATGTCACAGCCAAGGCCCTGCGAGGGAGGGTGCTGAGCTCTGAAGGCCGGAGGGGACGTGTGAGTGGGTGCACACAAGAACGCTCACCCCCATCTAGACACACGAGAATAATCACCCCTATCTAGACACACGAGAACGCTCACCCCATCTAGACATACAAAAGGTATAGCAAAATCCAGCGTTGCTCACTCGGGAGGTCCTGGCTCCTCTTCAACCTGGGGTGGCAGGAACACACGGAGGGCGTTACGCCCCCACCTCCCTGGCCTCACGGGACAGGCCATGGCGTGGACGCCCAAGATGGGCCACAGGCTGGGTGTCTGCTGGAAAGGCCAGGCTCCCAACACACTGGGTGCAGCAGGGAGCCTGGGGGCGGGTAGCGGCACGTGAGCACACTGGCAAGGCTCGGGGTGTTTCCAGCCAGAAGCCGCAAGGCCTTCTTCTTTGCAGGTGCCACAGGTCAGTGACTTGGGAACAAGGCTCGCCTGAGCCTCATTCTTCACCCGATGGTCTGATCCCCGGGGTGCCAGCCAGTGCCCTCACCTGTCTGCACACGCCCTACAAGTCCTGCCCACGCCCTGAATATTCTGCCCACAAGAGCTCAGACACACCTCCTCCAGGAGGCCCTCCTGGCCCCACACAGGCAGAGGGGGCATCCATCCTCCCTTGGGCCCCAAGGTGGCAGCTGCTGCTATTTCTGGCCTGCCTTGCCTGCTGCTAGTCATCTGTGCCCTTCTGTCCTCTAGGGCCTGACACTCAGGAGAGGTGAGAGACAGAGTGTGCCTGGGTTGGGGAGTTGATGCGGCTCTGATGGGGCCTCCTAGGAAGTCACCACCCCTCACCTGGGCAGACGACGAGTCTCTCCCCAGATTCCAGCCACAGGCCCCGCATGGAGCTCAAACATGCCAGAGCCTGGCAGGGGCCTCCTGCCGCTCCCCTCCACAGCTGCTGCTCAGAGTCCCCAAAGAGAGTGGGGCCGTGCACCCCAGGCCCACAGAGGTCATGTGGCTGCAGGATCTCAGGGCTTGTGTGAGAGCGGGGCCACACACCCCAGGCCCACAGATGCCAGCTCATGTAGCCAAGAAAACCTTAAACCTTAGCCCCATTTTCCTCCTCTCTGCCACCACGCCCACCCACCCCCAACACACTCACTTTTCTCTGTTAAAAATCACGAAGTCTTGCTGGATTGCATCAAGGCAGTCTTGAAGATAGTCATTCTCCTGTGGACGGAAAGGCACATGTGAGTGTGGGGGACACTGTCCAGGTTCTGCCCACTCCCCTCAAGTGAGTGTCTGGGCATCCCCATCGGGCCTCCACCCGTGGCTTTCTTTGGACAATGGACTCTGGGCTGTTGAAGCATCCCGGCCCTTCAGGAGCCAGACTGCCAGGGAGCTCGCGTCCCCGCAGGTGATTCACCCAAGCCCCGAGGGATGCCGAGGCCCAGCTCCCTTGCCTGAGGGTGGATGGCTTGGTCTTGCTCCATGGGGTCTGCAGGACCAGGCGGAAGCTGTTGTCTGCAGGACTTTGCTGGAAACCACTCCCTTGCCAGGCCTTTCCTGTCTCATACCAGCTTCTCCCAGCCCCTCATCACAGCACACACAAGCCCATCCCAGGCCTGCTTCTGGGGCCCTGCCCAGAGAATCTTGGAACCAGGGCTGTCTTAGAAGCCAGCCCTCAGGACAGGTTTGTGGACTGAGGCTGCCCCTCGCAGGACCCACCCCCTTGGTGGTGTGTGATGGGCAGGCAGGACTACTTCCTTCAGGCAGCAGGACCACTTCCCAAGACGCAGGAGTCGGGAGCGTGTGGGTGGGGTGGAGGGGGTGCTGGTCACTCAGCGCTGGCGTGGTGTGGGGAAAGCATCATTATGGTGACCACGGACTTGGATGGTGACGTCGGTCACTGGTCACTACCAACGTGTGAGCAAATGACAGACCCAGATCAGTCAAGTCACAATGGAGAGTGCAGGGAGTCGCAGGCCTCGGGGCGGCGTTAAAAGGGCCCCCATCTGCAGCTGAGGAGAAAGGATGCCCACTTTTGAGGACCACAGAACCTCAGATCCATAGGCTCAGGAAGTCACCCATGTCACAGCCAAGGCCCTGCGAGGGAGGGTGCTGAGCTCTGAAGGCCGGAGGGGACGTGTGAGTGGGTGCACACAAGAACGCTCACCCCCATCTAGACACACGAGAATAATCACCCCTATCTAGACACACGAGAACGCTCACCCCATCTAGACATACAAAAGGTATAGCAAAATCCAGCGTTTCCATCTTACGGGACCACGATCCCACGCGATTGGCCAGTGAAGGAAGCGTCGTTATGCAGTGTGTGACAACAGTCTGCGTTCCCTCCAGATGGACAACAGCATGCTTTCACGGCCCCACCCAGGGCTAAGGGGTCTCTTCCCTGTCAGTGTCGTCTGTGCCTCAACCACCTGGACACTCTTGCCCGCTATCCACAGATCCTATTTTTGGTCTCGCTCTGTCACCCAGGCTGGAGTGCAGTGGCATGACCTTGGCTCACTGCCAACTCCGCCTCCCGGGATGAGGGTCTGACTGAGCCACTGGGATCTGGCAATCCACAGTGACACAGGGTGGGAGGGGCTGGGGTGGGCACCAGGGATGCAGAATGTGAGTGCCCGTCGTGGCCTGTGTGCAGCCCAGTGGCAGGGGCTGCTGGTCACCCTGCAACGTCCACAGCCACGTTTTCCTAGGCAGAGAGGTCACCAGAAGCCTGAGGAGCTGCTCCAGAAACATCTGAAAGAGGTGGCTCTGAGCGGCGCCTAAGCCGGGCTATGAGTCTCCAAGATGTGCGAGTGCGACCCTTTTCCACCGGGACTCCCAAGGTGTGTGGAGCGCTCCCAGCAGGACGCCATGGTGGGGTCTGTGCCTGGCCTGGATCTGCCCTGCCCTTCCTCTGACGGCCCTGCCTGTGCCTCTTCCTTGGGTGGCTGGAGCCCTTTCCCAGCACACACAGAGCCAGCGGGCCACAGAGGGGCCCTTCGCCCATGACTGGTGGGTGTGGGCGTTTGAAAGCCCAGCTCCCTCAGGGCAGGGACCTCTTGAGTCACAGGTGATGCTCCCGGGTCCCCTGAAGGCTGAAGCCGCTCCCCACAGGGTTTCTGGATTTCTGCTTGAAAGCCGGCCGGGCGCGGTGGCTCAAGCCTGTAATCCCAGCACTTTGGCAGGCCGAGATGGGCGGATCACGAGGTCAGGAGATCAAGACGATTCTGGCTAACACGGTGAAACCCCGTCTCTACTAAAAAATACAAAAAACTAGCCGGGCAAGGTGGCGGGCGCCTGTAGTCCCAGCTACTCAGGAGGCTGAGGCAGGAAAATGGCATAAACCCGGGAGGCGGAGCTTGCAGTGAGCTGAGATCTGGCCACTACACTCCAGCCTGGGCGACAGAGCAAGACTCCGTCTCAAAAAAAAAAAAAAAAAAAGCCAAGCTCTGCTGGCATCTCCCATCCCGCAGGCAGTGGGGGGTGGGGGTCTCTCCCGGATGCACTTTCTGAGTAACTCGACCAGGAATCCCCGTCTCAGGGCACCCGTGGTGCCTGCACACGTGCTGAGACACAGCATCGGACCCCAGATGTCACCCACAGCAATGAGGGGCCTGGGAAATGGACCAGGCTTCAGTCCCTAACACCATCACAAACCTGCTTGGCAGCTCAGGTGCAATTGTCAAACCCCTCAGCATTCAGTGGAAATGCAAGGGACCCAGAATAGTCAAATAATGTCCAAAAAGAACAAAATTGGGGGATTCACAGAACCTGATTTGAAAGCTTGCTACAAAGCTGCAGTTATCAAGATGGTGGGGTCCCGACACAGGGCAGACATCTGGACCAATGGAACAAAATGGCAAGTCAAAAAACAAGGTGTGATGTCAAAAGCAATTCAATGGGGAAAGAATCATCTTTTCAGCAAATAATGCTGGGACAGTCCGATATCCACCAATGAGAGAATGAAGCTGGACCCTCACCTGACATTGTTCATAAAAATTAACTCAAAATGAATCACGTAGCTAAACGCAAGAGCTGAAACTATACGATACTTAGAAGGAAGTGTGGGAGTAAATCCCCGTGACCTCAGCTGAGCTGATGGATCCTCAGACAAAGCACAGTAGCCAAGGAGGAAATCGCCACGATAGACAACGTCAAGGTCCAAGTAGCCGAGGAGGAAATCGCCATGTTGGACAACGTCAAGGTCCAAGTAGCCGAGGAGGAAATCACCATGTTGGACAACGTCAAGGTCCAAGACTTCCCTGCTGCAAATGATGCCCCCAAGCAAGAGAAAAGATAGCCCACGGAACAGGAGAAAACACCTGCCAATCACCTGTCTGACCAGACACCTGCATCCAGGAAATAAAATACATAACTCTTACGAAGAAACACAAAGACGAGCAAGGACTTCTGGCTTCTGCTGTGCCGCGAACAACGTGGAAGGCCTCATTCCCATCCCTGCAACAGGAAAAATGCTGAACTAATGAAAATCAATGACTTTTCCTGGACCCATCAGAGAGCTGAGGTCAAAGCACTGCTGCGACCCCCAAGTCTACAGAGACAGGTGAGCAGAGTCACAGCCAAGACCCACTGGCCTGGAGCAGAGCTGATGGTGCAGGAGCTGCACGAACACCTCCCAGGCAGCTCTGGGGAACGGCTGGGGCTGTATGCAGAACTCCCGGGCTGCAGTCTTATGGGGCCCCCAACCTTTCGTGGGTTTCCCCTCCAGGAACCCTGCCAGGTCTTAATGAAGCCAAGGACGATCCCTTCCCGGCTCTGGCATGGGATGGGGACAGTCACCGCTGTGAAATATACCTGGAGCATTCTTCACAGCAAATGGAGTTTGCTCGCCAAAGGAAAGGCTTATCTCACTGGGGGAAGACTGTTTTTCAGCCTGTACCCGCTTTAGCCTGTCTCACCTAAGGGGAGGGGAAAAGCAGATCAACAACTGTGAAGGGGCACAGGCCCCGAGACTGACATTTGGTCACAGACTGTGGAACAGTTCCCTACCCGCCACCTTCCCAACACACCCACAGGGTTTCTGCAGTGTGACAGGGATTCCAGCAGATAGGGCCACAAAATGCAGACTCTCTCTGAGGAGGACGATATAGGGAAGCCCAAGGGCAACCGAGGAAATGAAAACAAATGGGAAGCCTCTGGTACCCACAGCTACAGCAGACATTAAACCCTGCCCCAAACCTGGCCTAACATAAACATAAACCTCACACTAAAGGCCCATCTACTTCAGCTCTTATTACCGGATGCATCATGTCTGGATTTCAACAAACATTACAAGGCAGACTGCAAGGTCTTAAGGAAAAAAATAGTGTAAAGAGACAATGCACGCATTAGAATGGATCCAGATATGGCACCCAGGTTGGAATTATCAAACAGGAAATTTAAAATAACTGTGATTAATATGGTAAGGGCTCCAAGGGAAAAGTATGCAAGAACAGATGGGGAACAGACGGGCAATGTAAGCAGAGAGATGGAAACTCCAAGGAGGGATCAAAAGGAAATGCTGGAAATAGAAAACACTGTAACAGAAATGAGGATGCCTTTGATGGTTCCTCAGTAGACTGGATCCAGATGAGGAAGGAATCTATGAGCTTGAAGAAATGTCAACAGAAAATTCTCAAACTGAAATGCAAAGAGGAAAAAAAAGAATGAAAAAAAATGAACAGAATATCCAAAAGCTGTGGGACAATTTCAAATGGCACCACACATGCATAATTGGATTTCTAGCAGGAGGAGAGTAAGAGAACAGAATATTTGAAATAATAATGACTGGGCATTTTCTGAAATTAACGACAGACACCAAACCACAGATCCAAGAAGCTCAGAGAACACCAAGCAGAATGAATATATCAAAAAAAATCTGTACCTAGGCATATCATTACTCAAACTGCAGAAAACCAAAGAGAAAATCTTGAAAGGAGCTGGGGGTGGAGGGTGGGGAGGAATTCTACTTACAGAAAAAGAATTAGAGCAGACTGCTTGTTAGAAATCACATAAGCAAGAAGAGAGTAGAGTGAAATATTTAAAGTGTTGAAGGTAAAAAACCTACCAAGCCAGAATTCTATATCCAGTGAAATTATTCTTTAAAGATGAAATAAAAATAAAGACCTTTTTGGACAAACATAAAGGGAAGGAATTCATCTCTGTTAGACCTGTCCTATAAGACATGTTAAACAAAGTTCTTCAGGGGGAGAAAAATGATT